ATATGGATTGGAATTTAGGTCTCTTTCCATACTACTAATTTTTTTTTATATTCGATAAAGTTCTTCCTAACCTGCATGGTGATGGACAGTGTTCTCTTTTTAAAAAGTACAAGTATCACTAAAAGGGCTAGGGATATTAAAACATTTACATGTATGTGTATGTGCATATATATGTATATGTATTTAAAATGTCTAATACCTACTTGCCACAAAAATGTACATTTTGAAATATATAAAAAATGTTTCCTAGGTTTTCTTTAAACATTTATATACACTGCCCTGTAACTTACTTTTTTCACTGACATTATATTGATATAAATCTTGCTATTAGTTTTTAACCAGTTGTTTGTTATTATACAAATAAACTATTTAAACTCTGCCTGAGGAATATTTATACTCTTGCTATTTTGGTGATACAGGCAGTACCATAGCGAACTTCTATGTTCCTACATAATTGGAAGCTGACTGTGGCAAAAATTTTCTGGAGATTTTGATAGGGAAGGGGTAAACAAAATCATATAAGGGATGCCACTAAAGGAGATGCCAAAGGCACACTTTACCTCCATCAAAACTTTTAGTTCTCACCAAAAGGGTTCTCTTCATATTGTTATGAAGTGTGCTAAAAATAATAATAAAGACTAAAAATTAGATAATTTGAACCTCTTTATCTGGCAGTGACAGAGTAACTGGTGCTTAACTTCCCTCCTGCCATAAAGAACTAGAAAATTAGACAAAATATATGAAACAACTATTTTCCGATAGTGCACAGCAGGCAGTATTAGATCCCAGAGAGAAGGGAAACAAACCAGGCAAACCCTGAATTGCCCCAGCTTCTGCCTTAAGGCAGTTTTCAGGAAGCAGGAGGAGGGAAAATTCAAACAAAACAGTGGTCTTGCTCAATTTAGACAGAGATTAGGGTTGAGGGAAGTTTAAGTGGTTGGAATTTGTGGCTCAAAACACCAGGGAGAACAGAGCAACACAATGATCTCCAGAAATCTATGTAGGTATTCTCTTGGTTTTTAGGCTAAATGCGTACTAAATTGTGCTTGCTTATGGTGAAACTTAGAGACCGCACAAACAGCTAGTGGGGAGCTGAGCACTTCCCAGAGCTCACAGAGCTGAGAGCCATTTAAATTCAGTGGAGACCCCAGAATATTATGGTTTAGTGGCAGAGCTAAAGTAGCCCTTAGTGTACTGTGTGAGATAGACTCAACCTAAGAAGCTTAAAGACGGCTTGAAAGGAATAAGCTGATCCACAGCTAAAGTAACTGCCTCTTCCAAAACAGACTAAAGAAAAATTCACTCAACAAATGAATGTCTATCCAACTCAGTCGCAAATTACTAGATATGTGAAGAAGTAGGAAAATGTAACTCATAACTAGATGAAAAATCAGTTAAAATAGATTCAGAAATGACAGATAATGGAATTAATAGATGTGTACTCTAAAACACCAATTCTAAATATTTTCAAGGATCTAGAGGATGAACATAATGAGGAAAGATGTGGTAATATGAAAAAGAACCAAGTGAAATTTCTAGAGCTTAAAAATACTTTGTATGATCTTTGCAGTAGGTCAGAAACTACAAAAGAGAAGATCCCAGACTGGGAGAAAATATTTGCAATACCTGTCAAAGAACTTGTACTCAAGTATATAAAATAGTCTTAAGATTAATAATAAGAAAAACCACCCATTTTTAAAATGGGCAAAATATTTTAACAGATACTTCACAAAAGATAGATAATAGGCACAAGAAAAATGCTCATCAGAGAAATGCAGATTAAAACCACAATGTGATGCCAGTAGCTACTAGAATAGCAAAAAATTTTACAAACTGAAAATACCACTGTTGTGGAGCAACAGAAACATCATACATTGCTCTTTGAAATGTAAGATGGTATAATCACTTTGGTAAAATTCAGGTTAAGCGTATACTCATGACCCAGATATTCTACCCCTAGGTATTTACTGAAAAGAAATAGATTTGTACATGAATGTTTGTAGTGTTTTATTTATAAGAGCCCAAAACAGCAAAAAATATCAACTGGTTCATGTATAAACATTGTGATTTACAGTGGACTACTACTCATTAGTAAAAAAGAATGAACGACTTATACAACATGGATAAATCATAAAATATTGCTGAACAAAAGCTAGACACAAAATAGTATGTACTGTGCAAGTTTATTTATATGAAATTTAGGAACAGGTAAAACTAGTCTCTAGGAACAGAAAACATCACTAGTTGCCTGGTACTGAGTATCGGGGTGGGAGGTTGACTGAAACAGGAGGGAACTTTTTGGCATGATAGAAATGTTTTCCGTATTGATTGTGGTTGGTGGTTGCAGAGGTGTGTACATTTTTCAAAATTACTATCAAAATTTAAAATGAGTACATTTTACTGTATATAAAGTATAGCTCTGTAAAATTGATTTTTAGGTATATACCTTTACCCCTTACCAAAAATAATTATGTTTCAAAAGTGGAGTAATTTCAAATGTGAATTTTTACTGGGAAACTGAGTAATTGATTGAGAAGTAGGGTCAGCAAAGGTGACTGCTTTGATTTTAGAAGATCCATACTTAAAGGGTTTCCTGTCAATATAGAAGCTCTTATTAAAGGCATTTTCCCCCCTTGATTTGTATACTTTATATCAAGCATTGAAGTCTGTGAGATGTAGAGGAATACCTTTAAATGGATGCATTTGTTTTATATGGGCTTCAGATAAGTAGGAGTTAGCATGTCTCATACTTCAACCTACTTCTATTAAATATCAATAGCAGTACTTCACAGGTTAAGGACCAGATGAGGTGTTTTTAAAATTTTACTGAATAAACCAGAAAGCCATATATACATACAGGTTTGTGTTACTATTCCTCCCTTTTCGTTCCACCCCTTGCAATCAAGGACTAGGTGTAGCTAGTCTGAGTCACACTCCTCCAAAGGCTTCCTGTGATATGTTCTGGGTTTCTCTTTGATTTCTTTTTTGTACTTGTTAATTTTATTATACCAGAGATAATACTTCATCACTTTATTTAGCTAATTTGGAAGAAACTTAGGTTATAACTGCCATAAAAGTGATGTGCTTTATAAAATTTCTATTTACTAATGTAAGCCAACAGCAAATATTTTAGTTTCAACTTTGGTTTATATCTTCCTAAGTTGTTAGTATGTTGCCTTAGTTTTTTCTTCTTTTGCTTTTACTGGTGTCCCTAACTTGATGGTTTTATTTAACTATTCATATATATTACTTATTTTTAGAACTCAGGAGCAAACACATATTAAGGAAATTTAAACATAAAAGACATTCACACTGTAACTTCTCCCAAGGATGTAAGTCAGAATATGTTAATGACACATGGACTTTTCAAGTACAATGTTTTGTTCTTTTCGTTTATGAACTGAGATGTGCTCGTTTTTCCACTTAAGCAGTCTTGTGGTTCACTGCATGTAGACACTTTTCATATTGGTGTGAACTAGCCTTACCATTGGCCTTGGAACCTAGCTCCACTAATAAAAGTGGGTGATCTTATAGTATCTGATATGATTTCAAGAAACTTATGTCCTTTCTCTACAAATAGAGAAATTTAATATTTAAGTGTATCTAAATGAAAATAATTACCTTGATTTTTGGCAAATATTTCTACATGATGTAAGACAAAGTTATATAATCTCTGATGTAAAGTAAAATTAAAATTTTACATGCTTGTATAAATTTATTTTTTACAAAAGGTAATGGAGAAAGGAGGAATGAACAGACAGATCACAGAGGCTTTTTAGGGCAATGAAAATACTCTGTATGATACTATAATGATAGATACATGTCATACATTTGTCCAAACCCATAGAACATACACCACGAGTGAACCTTAATGTAAACTCTGGGCTTTGGGTGATTATGATATTGATGTAGGTTCACCAAGTATAACAAATATACCATTGTGGTGGAGGCAGGAGGTATATGGGAAATCTCTGTACCTTCCTCTCAATTGTGCTATGAACCTGAAACTACTCTAAAAATAAAGTTTTTAAAAAGTAAGTTGTGACATTTAAAACACTGCAGTCATTTCTTATTAAACCCAGTATGATTATTTTTCTTCACATAAGGTTCTCAAGTAAGTCATAAGAACACAGTGAAATAAATTCCTTCTGACAGATCATTTTGGACTGGTCAATAATTCAACTTTCTTGGGTAACAAAAATTATAAAAACTTTTAAAATGCAGTTTTAATGTCCAAAAAGGGCATTTTTTTTTTTAAGTAACATGTTCTGTTCTAAATATGCTTCTCATTGAGTAAATATTTAAACTTATGTTATTTACCAGTTAATGTATAGGACATATAGGAACTAGGGTCTTTTCATTTAGTAGAAGGTTACCATCATTAATTTTACAACTGATGATTTTATAATAGGTCCTTCTAGTTCTTGATGGTCATCATTCAAGTATAATGCATTGAAGATATGGCCTGTACAAAGGCAGAACAGGGATCTTAATTAGAATTCTGACAAGCCCACTCCAATAAAATGATGAGATTATTTGTAATTGATGTCACAATCAATTACCATTTAGTTCATCATGAGCATTCTAATAGGTCTGGCCTTGGTACTGGCCCCAGGATGTTGCTGAGTGAGTGGCTGCCCTGCTTATGCTGTTATTGAGACAGGAGGGCACATTTTCAGTCAGCATCCTAATGGCCTCTTTTGAAGTCTATTAAATTAATGACCCTGTCACACTGTTTTGATCTCTTATAACCTCAGTTTGGGGTTTGTGTAACAAATTAATGATTGGGAACCATGTGGCAAAAAAGATAGGTCTTGTAAAAAGTTGAAACTTTACTACTAATTTTAGTTATTTTATTGTGCAAGAAATAAAAACAAAAGTGCAAATCATGGGGTTTGTATTTTATAAAAGAGAACTTTAAGACATTTCTCCTATAAGACATACTTTTTATTTATAGTATGCAATTTTTTTTAAGGGGCTGCTTTCTTCTTTAATTCTAGGTGCCAGTTGGTCATGTTTGGATAGAAGGTGATAATCTACAGAATTCTACAGATTCCAGGTCCTATGGACCTATTCCATATGGACTAATAAGAGGACGTATTTTCTTTAAGGTACTGTCTCCTGTTTAAATGTAGGCTTTCTTCTCTGAGCTGGGAAAAAAAATCAGTTTCTTTCAAAATAAACTTTGAACTCCTCAGGCTGTCAGTGGACTTAACTGTTGCAATAACAGTTATGAACATGTTGGCTTTCATAGCTATAAACATATGCCTTCCCCCCATTGAGACAGGTCATTGAGAATAATTTTTTATTTGAATAATAAAGTTCAAACTACCTTAGTTATATAGTAAGAAACCTTTATTTTGAATCTCCAAAAATTTCTCTCATACAACTTTTATAACCATGTTCATATCCTGGGAATATGTTAATATGCATTTGTAGAAGATCAGTCTAGGTTCAAACTACCTGTATAATGCAGGGATATCTCAGTTAAGTGCAGTGAGTAATGGACTTATCATGGTTGTAGTAAATATACGATTCTTAGGAAAGATTATTGTTCTCCATGGTTCCTGTTTTGTCACAATCAGTAAGGAGAAAAACATATAACACTTGGAGCTGTTGGATAAATTACAGAATTCTTTACACTTTAGCACATATTCAAGTACTTAGGATTGGTTAACTTTGAGGGTAGTTAAAGAACACACACACACATACACACACACATACACACATTACACATGTATACAGTAGACCCTTAAACAACACAGGGGGTAGGGTCACTGACCTCGCCGTGCAGTTCCAAGTCCACTAATAACTTTCAACTTCCCCAAAACTCATCTATGGTGTTGGGTATTGGTTCCAGGAATCCCAAAAGATACCAAAATCTGTGACTGCTCAAGTCTCTTGTATAAAATGGCACAGAACAGTGCATACAGTTGGCCCTCTGCATCCATGGATGAGAACCCGGGTATATGGAGGGCCAACTGTATATTTATTGAAAAAAATCTTCATATATGTGGACTCATGTACTTCAAACCTGTGTTTTTCAAAGGTCAACTGTATTCACATGACATGCAATTTCTTGTATATTTGAATGTTCCAAACTTTAGAGTTTAAATACATACACACATGAAAGTTTACTTTCTAAAGTCTTATTTTGATGTAGAAATTTTGTTCTTGACTGAAGAATAAGGAGAAAGTATTTATATGTCATAGAGAAAGGAGATGAATGATAAAAAAAAGGAATATGATGATCATATAACATCACTTTCATTAATTGTCTTCAATCACATTTTGATTTTACAGATTTGGCCTCTGAGTGATTTTGGATTTCTACGTGATAGCCCTAATAGTCACAGATTTTCTGATGATTAGCAAGCATTTATTCTTTTGATAATTGTTTCCTGTTCAGATGAATTTGTTATTGCCACTGAAACCATGTATTTACAAATAAACTATTTGCTATTCAATTTGTTACTTTTAAATTGTTAAATGTAAAGAGGAATAACAAATAATCTGCAAGCTATATTAATTCAAGATATGTGGATAAAAATAAGTTATCTAAATTTTATGCTAGATATAAAAATATTTTTAGAGGAAAAACCTGGATGACAACCTTACTTTTGAATTTTTGGTTTTATAGATATAATGAAAAAGTAATCTCATGGATATGCTTCATACTTTAGCTACATTTACAAGTCAGAGTAGAAACTAGTTGTATAAGTCCAAACCAACAAGAATTCAACTTAATAAAAAGCTACTAAGTCGCACGCTTGGCTCACTCTTTGAATGAGTGAGAATTGAATGAACTGAGTGAGAAAGTTTCAGTGATGCCCTAAAGGATTCCTTTTTAAATGAGTTTTTAAAGTGAGTGCTGACTTATACTATACATAGAATATTAAATATATAAAAAAATAAAATCTTTACAGTCTACTGTAGTCAATAATAATACATTATAAAAGTCCATTTCATCATACCAGCAATGCAGTGGTTCCTTATTCCTAAATACAGGCATTAATACTATATCACAGTACTCTGAAATAAAAAGGAAAGTAATGCATGTGTTTCAATTTTTTTTCTTAAAGCTACTATTTCCTAATTATATCTAAAATTGAAGATGGCAGTGTTCAAGAAGCTTGCTCCCTTTAATATAGCTACATGAAGAATTTGGAACTCTAGTGCCAGGACTGAAGTTAAGTCTTCTGACTCCAAAGCTATCCTTTTTCCTGCAGTTGCCACTTTGCCTTCTTTATTAACTTTGAAATAACCTCATGAATACCCATATTCAGCCTACATTATGGGAGAACTAAAATCACATGTTATTTGCAGAGATTCTAATTTGATTTTAATGACCTTAGATTTCTGAGGCAGTTGTCAAATAGGCCTATAACTCTGGCAGCTAGAAATATGTTACTTCAGAAGCTTAGTAACTATAAATGAATATGATGATACTCTGACCCTTTAAAAGAAGAGACATGCTTATTTAAGGAAATTAATAATAAAGTACTCAATAGGAATTCACTAAATATAATTTATAATTCTAATCCATTTTTTGGCAATCTATAAATATAAACACATATAGCTAAATTAATTTTCTATTAATCTGGAGTAGACGTTGCTTGACAGTCTTATTTCTCTGCAAATAACAGAGCTGACCAAAAAAAAATGATCCTACCACATTTTTCTTTTTTCTTTTTTCTTTTTTATCAGCTTTATACAGTTGCTTGAATGGACACAGTTAGAATGGACTCTCTTCAGTGTATCTGAATACACAGTTAAAGGATTCTACTTGGTGAACAATTTCAGCTATAATGAAGGAGTTCTATAATTAGTGAACAGGTATCACAAGAAATCAGAGTAACTTCTTCTGCTTCCTCCTTGGAAACACTGTATTCTCCACCACAACGGCAACTCACAGAAAAAGAGTGATCATCTGCAGAGAAAACAAAATAATGCTTTAAATGCTTACAAGTAACTTCGTAAACACTATAAAAAAATGCAGTTTATTCCACAGAAATTGCAAGACAAAAGAAGCTCTGTAAATATAAAATGTATTCTTAAATGAGAACCTGAAAAAATTTCTTGTATGGAGCAGTGTTTCTAAAAATTATCTATCAAAGAATCTTTATTTATAGAGGAGATGGGTTAAAGCTATGGATTAATAATAGTCCAAAGATCTTGGGGCAATAGCAGCCCCTCAGAGTGACCCATGAAATTTGTCTTTTTTTTTTTTTTTTAACATTTTTCTCAACAATGTGTTTATCCAAACTATTACTGTAAAGGAAAAAGAAAAATACCCTACCTGTTAAAGAGCATGCTTTTGCCTGGAGTATATGGTTTTAGAGAAAACTTCACACTTAACTGCTTATCAAATTCAACATTTGACTATATCTGTTCTGGTATCACACTATTTCAAGAATCCTGACTCAACTATATAAAAACACACTGTTTTTTTCTGTGGGTGTTTGTACATGTTTGTTAGGTGTTTACAAATGATTTATGAACCAAAAGGACAGTCACTGAAGTGAGATGCCCAAAGGAGGCAATATGGTGTAATGTTTAGGAAATTTTAAGTCTGTCATCTTCCTAAGAAGTTGAAATCTCTGCGTCCTTTAACTAAAAGAATTTCTGATCCACTGGTCATTCAATTTTACTGTCACTGAGAAGTGACTGTCAAGGAAAAATAATTACTGATCACATTATTTTACTGTAATTTTTTATATAGATAAATGAACTAAGTAACAAAATACATGATTTCTTACAGATGCCGTTACTCAATTCTCAAACTTCATTTTTAAACAGTCAAACAGATCTCAACATATGCCATTAAAAGAGAGGGAAAAAAGAAAGGAAAAGGAAAAAAAATTCAACTGCCTTGTTTTTGTTCTCTAATGAAGTTTGGCCTAGAAAAAATAGCAATTAAATGAACCAACTTCATGTGTTTATCAGTTAAGGAAAACGAATTCATTCACCCAATCCTTTTTTTTTTTTTTTTTTTTAACCACAGTGCCTTTTTTCTCCATAAAGAAAAATAATTTCATTTTGAATTTAAGAATGCTATCATCTTCCCTGTCTAAGCCAACATATATGTATAGCAGAGGATAAGTGCATTGTTTTTTGGTGTAAAAATGTACATAAGCTAAATTTCCTTTTTTTTTTAACCACTTCAGTGAACATTGAGAAACAATTTGAGGTGACATGAGCTTGGTAAATGATGCAGAGGCCACCATGGACTACTCTGGAGTTCTGTCATAGATGACTCCAAATGTTAATGCTCACTAAAAACTCACATCTTGTTAAATTTCTTCTTATATTCTACTACACTTAATAAAGTGATATCTTCACAGACATCATCATTTTAAATATAACAAAGACAAAATGACCACACAAACAAACTAACAATAACTGTGAGGGGAAAGGTTAACTTCAATCTCTCAACAGTTCTTCAGGTATACCTTTTAAGTGTAATAAAACACACATTTCATACTGTCCTTGCATCAAGAAGCTGAATTTGGCTGTCTATCATGTAAGGCTTCATCCACTTTCCTGTTCTGGATCTTCACCTTCCAAGGCTATTCTGAAAGTGACTGAAGAAATCTTCACACAATTTTTTACTTGCCCAGTTGATCTGCTTTTTAACTTTATCTGCCAAGGCTGCTCTTTTCAATTGCAAAGAACAATTCAAAATTGTAAATTCAATTGCAAAACTTAACATGACTAGTTTTTAAACATTCCTGCAAAAATAATAGCTTCATGCAGCTGTTAGTATTTTCTCTCACAAGGATAAGAACTATTTCAAGTTTTACAATAATAAACCCTTAATTTTAATAAACATGTAAGGACATCCCATAGTATTAAAATTAACTATAGCTGCTTATAACTGATTCATTGTCTGTGGTTGGGATTCTTCTGTATCTTCTTCACTGTCAAATTTATTTTAGGAAGTCCCAAAGAACAACACCTTTATAACATAACCATTGACAATTTGTACATGTTGTACACTTCCTTCATTATCTTGGCATTATCACTTGTATCAGAAAGTTCCTATAGTTGACTGAACAGGTTTTTGAATCATCAATCCATATTCTTAATTTAAAATAAATCTTATATCAATTATATTTTTAAATGTTACTGAAAGGAAGATTACAAAAATCAAAACTATTTTCACATTATCAGGAATCATTAGTAAATAATATATATCAGTCAATACAGCAAGAAGAACTGATTTGTCTAACAGATTAAACATACATATGGATTCTTAAGGTAGCAATACTGTATTTTCAAAAGATCTGTTTAGCTGGCAGGTCTCACTGATAAATGACATGTTCTAGTCTGTCTCCTTCACGATCTAGCAGTGAAAGCTTGTGTCACTAGTATATTCTGTTTTCACAGCAGTAGCTCTTCCTGTTTAGACTGATGAAACTGTCAACCCCTTAAAGCCCCAGTTACACAAAACCTCGTTTTCCAATCATTCACTGCAAATAAGAATTTCTACTCTAGGATTTCATTTGGCAGCTGGAACAGAGTGGCCCACAGGCAAAAACATGATTCCCCTTCCAAGCCAATATAGCTTGTGACCCAGCTTCCTAAGAGCACTAAACTAAGAATTTACCATTAAAAAATATTTTATTAAACTTGGTTTCTGGAAAGATGGGCTGTTTATCTTCTACCTACCTCCACTCATTAGTAAATTTTTATAAACTCCTAGGGAACCTGTACCCCAGGCTGAACAATAAAGTTATGGGGTTAAGAGCATATAATAATTCTAGGAACTAGTAAGATTTTCTTCATTTGACCAAAGAAACATGGGAGTGTGTATTCATGGCTTCCATTTAGAAAAAGAAACTTAATAACCAGAGCAATTCACAGAACTATCAAGAGTGGAGAAATTAGTTTTAAAATTCTAGTAAAAGGGAAGTGAGAAAGACATGACTTCAAGGTAGGTAAAAGGGAGTGACAGATTTTTCTTTTCCACCTAAGACCCAATCAAAAAGTGAGTGTAAAAATCAAGCTCCAAATAGAAGAATATAACATTGAAAGCCCTGCTCTGACATGTTATGATTCTATATAAACAAACAAAAATAAAAATTCTAATAAGAATTAATCTTGAATGTCAACATAGGAAGGATGGAAAAAATTACTTTCTTTGACTTTATTTTCCCTATTACACAGATGGAGAGTAAACCAAAAACCAAAGTAGTTTTAAAAAAGAAAACCTTATGAAAAATTATGTACCTATCAACTAATTAGAATAGAAAAAAAAATTGGAAATGAGTCATATAGGGGGACATCAATAATTGAAGTTTGAAAGAAAAATATTCCAGACAACACCCATATATATATCAAAAGCCAAATTATTATTTCTTTTTAAGATTCCAAATATGAGAGTTTTTATTTTCTCTTTATAGAAAAACCCTAATATTTTCCATTACTGTAGTCAAGAGAAAAAAAACAATTCTAACCTTCATTCCAAGACATTTCTTCAAGATATACTTGAGCATCTACTGGTCCCATATTTCTTAGATTGTCTTCTGTAAAATATAAAATACTTTAATCATAATCACAAAGAATGCTGAAAAGGCAACTCCAGCCTGGCCACTATAACTCTCTCATTTACTTACCATTTTAAAACTTAGATTACTACTTCTGAGAGCAGTTATAAGGCTACTTGACTTCAACTGACTAAATTCCAGAGCATACCAATTTTTATGAACTTTAATAGTCAAAATCTATCCCATTTTTTCACAAATATGCAACATGCAAAACCATGACATCGATTTTGATGATTCCTTGTGATCAGTTAGTGACCTCTATTTTGTGAGAGAGAGGAAAATTTTTTTGTCAGATAAATTATATCTGTAACTAAGGAAGGCAGCATAGAGTTGAGTAAAGATAGCTATATTTGAATCTTAGTTCTATTATTTGACTAGCTTTCTAACCCTAGGTATATTGAGTTCTATCTTATCTACTTCAGAAGGGTTGCTATGGGACTAAACTGTGACTCCCCCCCAAATTCAGATGCTAAATCCTTAAGCCCCCAATGTGACTTTATTTGGAGATAAGGCTTTTATGAGGTAATTAGGTTAAATGAGGTCGCAAGAGTGGGTCCTAATGGTGGTCTTATAAGAAGAGAAAGAAGTTCTCTCTCCATGGATATGCACCGAAGACTATCATATGAGGACACAGCTAGAAAGAGGCTCTCTGCAAGCCAGGGGGAGAGACCTCACCAGGAACCATATTGACTGGCTCCTTGGTTTTGGACTTTCTAGCTTTTAGAATTGTGAGAGAGAAATTTCTGTTGTTTAAGCCACCCAGTGTATGGAATATAGTTAATGGCAGATGAGACAGACTAATACAAGAGTGTTTTACCAATCAAATGATATCAGGCTAAAAGTGCTTTAAAGAATAAAGCTACCTAAATATAAGGGGCTATTATTACCTGATTTTTATTTGCTTGCAACAGAATATTAAGTAACTTAAATGAAGAATTATTTTAAAATATTTCAAAAACCATACAACACAACTGTGTTGTTTTGAA